GGTGAATGGGTTAAAGAAATTTGGAAGATTAATATGATAAAAGTGAGATACCATGATATATTTTAATTAGTTTTCAATCACGGCTTTTTATTACAATCTGATGGATGAGAGTGATTGTTCTCATTCTAACATAAAAATGTCATTCTAAGAGTATACATCCACTATACATGTATGTGTGTGTGTGTGACTATAATCCCATAAGGAGATTTGTTTTGAGATGTTATAAGCAGTATTATAAAAATTGGATCAGACTGACTAGTTGAACTGAGAATCAATGCTTACATTGGAACAATTTGCTTATCGATGATAAGGTAATTGAACTAGATCAAATGGGATTAAATGACCAATTTTCTCAAAAAATTGATGAATCGATCCAAATTCTGAGAAAATAAAAAAATCTAAAAAATTGTTTTTTAAAAATAAAAATATTGTGTTTAGGCTTTGTAAAAGTTGCATTTTGAAGTGTTGATAACTTGAATATGAATTTTGGATGTTGATGTTATTTATATTTTAATTTTTTAACTTATTTATGGAGTTGAATCATTGGCTTTAATTTAATTATTTATGAACTTTATTATTATGAATTTTAATTTAATTTTAATTTTGGATATTGAGTATTTTATGATGACAATATTTTTAAATTTGAAATATGGAATTGTGTTATTATGGTAAAAAAAATTAATTTAAAATATCATTTAGTATGCCAATAATTGTTTTTTCAATATAGATTGATTTAATTAGTACAACAAGTGATCCACATATTTGAACACTAAATCATCAAATCATTGTTTCAACTAGTTTGTTAACCAATTTGATTTTTATAATATTAGCTATAATGGATTTTTATGTTGTCAGATAATTGTATATTTTAGATAATCCCTAAGACCCCCTTTATATATGTATATATGTTATCCTTTATCTAGAAACTATTATGTTTGAGAATCCTTAAGACAGAAAATTTAAATATGTGATGTTCGTTCTATTATACCCGTGTAGTGTGTGACACTTTCTATCCCTCTAGCTAATGTATATAATAAACAATTTTAGTAATAAAGTCTTAAACAAAAAAAGGAATAATTTTAAACAAAAGGTCTATACATGGAGAAATCACATTCAATCTATAATACAAATACTTCAAAGTTGTTGTTGAAATGAAAATACCAAACGATAAACATGAAATAAAAATAAAGAAAAATATATTAGCTTTCCAAAAGTCATACAAGTCTTATAAAAACAAAAGATTCCTAAACACAAAAAGATATTCCAACAAAGCTCTGATGTCACATTCCTATTAGAGTCTAAACCTAGAAGATATCCAAGAGATTTGTGTCTCATCATCAGTGTTGCACATAAAATGTGGTTAGAGACAAGCGTACCTTATCGCGATAGTAATGGATAAAGCTTAAATATCGAACCCAAAGGGCTAGGTTCAAGATATTACTAATTTAATCACGATTTTTAACAGTTTGAAGGGATAAAAATTAATAATGAGAATGTGGCAAAGAGTGTATAAATTTAAAGTTTTAATTTAGAAAATAAAGTGATTGAAATTCGAGATTAAAAAGGCCTTACAATCAAAAGTTTTACACTTAGGGGAATAAATGTTTCTAGTGGATGCAGAACCTAGGACCCCCATAATTTGTATGCAAGATGAGCCTATAGGTAGAGCTGTCAAAGTGGGCTCCAGCCAATGAGTCAACCCAGTCCACCTTGAAAACAGGTCGGGCCGGGCCAAAAAAATGAAAAGATTTATGATGGGTCAAAAAAGTGACCCGGTCCACTTTCGACTCGGCCCACTCGGGTTGAACCCGTGGTGGGCCGGGTTGCCCACCTGACCCACTTATCAACCCATCAACCTAACCCACTAACAACTCATTTAACTATTTATTATTATATATGTATTATTTTAATAAGATATTATTTTTTTTCATAGATAAAGATAAAATTAATGTTAAACAATATGAAATTGCTATAAATTTATCTACCTAAACTTCCAATAAAATTTAATATTAATGAATAATCACTCTCATGAAAGGATTTTTATTTTTGTTTTGATTTTTTAAAATTGTACACTTTTTAATTTAAGTTTAATGTTGTATCCATGATACTTAGTTTGATAATTTTTACTTTAGGTTAGAGATTATTTTATATTAAAATTTATTTAAAATTATAATTTTTTTTAAAAAATTAAGTGGGTTGGTGGGCTAAACGGGGTGGGCCGGGCCAGGCTAGAAAAATTTGCATAATAAATTTGGTGGGCCGGCCCGGGTCAACCCACTTAAAAAGTGGGTTGAGGTGGGTCGGGTCCATTGGGTCAGGCTGGCCCGTTTTAACAACTCTACCTATAGGAATGTCAATAAATCGAGCCACCAGGTTTAAGAATAAGGTGGGATCCTTGGATCTAGTGGCTGGTGAATCACTGATCAAAAAGAAGATTTTGGAGAGATTCTTCATTGATCTAGTGGTCGGTGAATCACTGATCAAAGAGCGAGCAGCGCCAGGTTTAACGATTTGGTGGGATCCACATATGTAGTGGCCGGTGAACTACTTCTTCATCCATGAAGGTTCAGATAAAACCTAGCTTGGATGGAACTAAACAAGATTTGGTGAACAAATACAAAGGTAAAAGGCTTTATTATTGAGAAAGTAAAAATGGAAGGTCATTTAGTAGCCATCACAGGGTTCATTACTTCTCTAAGAAATTAACCACAAAAGAGGAGAATCTTTCTTTGCGGGTTGTTCTTGGTCTCTTATAGAACCTCCTTGGAGAATTAATAACCAAGATAAAAAGGAATACTAAACACTAAAACTAAAACAAGATGACCATGAATGTCTTATAAAGCCTTTATTTATAGGGAAAAATTAGGGTGACCCTTCAAGCATGGTCGTGCATAACAAGTAGCATAATCATGCATCTTTAGCATGGGTGTTAACCTTCCAACTCAAGGTGTGATTCATTCAAGCACGATCTTCCATAGTGATTAAATTGAAATTTTCGTCTTTTTGATTGTTTATTCGTCAATTTCTCTCTTCTGTATTTTCTCATTTGTTTGTTGCACACTTAACAAAAAAAATGAAGTTTTCCAATGATTGTAATTATAAAGCAAGGCAATTTGGCAAGAAAAAAAAAAGCTTCCTAAATTGCATCAAATTGAAGGTTTAGCAATCATCATTGACCTCATGATCATCTCATACAAGTGGTGATTAACTCAAACAAAACAAGAAATGACAACAAAAGGAAAGTGAGATATATCTCACTCATGCTCTTGGTGTGAGATAAGGTTGGGCAGGCATAACAAAACTTAAGAATTATATAATGATATCTGTAATACACATTACACATCAATAGTCACAAGACAATTATCTTTGTAGTAACATGAAGTATGCATTGATTCAATCTAATTCTATATGCATATGAAGTCATTCAAAAACACAATTATCATTCGAAAGCTCATAGAGTAGCCTAGAAGTACATGTTGATGATATACATCAACCAAAGATGTCTAACATATTTTACATTACTTGCACGATTGTTCCTTGGCTCGACAAGTATGGATCTCTTTAGACTCCATAAATCTTTCAAATACTTTCCTTAGTTTGGATTTGTGTGAGTGGATGCTTTTTAATTTGAAGACTTTGGTAAATCACCATATGGACAATTGGTGTATTGTCTTTCAAGTTTCTTGTAATAACATTTGGAGGAATAGAAACAAGTTCATTTTCTCTAATTAGGTGAATACAATGGATTCCTTAATGCAAAGAATTAAAAGGGGTGTTTCAGATATCCAAGTGGTTCCCCACGCCACCTTGGTTTTACCTCTCCAAAGTTTTGTTGCTAATATCAATGTCTCCATTAGTTGTTCCTCCTCTTGAAGGTTTCCTTAAACTAAATTGTGATGTTTCTATGATTCATCTTGATAATGTAGCTTGTGGTGGCGTGTTTAGGGATTCTTTTGGTATTGTTTTTTGTTTCTCTGCTAAGATTGAAGCGTCCTCCATTAATATGGTTGATTGATAGCCATTGAGATGAGAATTAAGTTGTAAGCTAGTAAAGGTTTTACTGATATTTTTGTGAAATTTGACTCCAAGTATATGATCAACCTTCTCTACTGTGGTTATAATCATCATCACCAATATGACCAAATTTTTAATTCCATTCATCAAATGAGTGAGGGTGCAATTTTGGTCCCGTGTTTTAAAGGAGACTAATCAAGTAGCTGATAATTTTACTCATCATGATTTATCTTTTTCTCATTTGTTTATTTTTTAGTTAATTCCTAGTTTTGCTTCCTTTAAGGTTTTGGCTGATGTTCATAATGTTCCATATCCTCATGGTTTCTAATTCAAGTTTTCTCCCGGGCCTTAGCCCTTGTTTGCCACCAAAAAAGAAAAATCATCCATTAAAATAATTTATTAAAATTTTTATTTTTTGAATATCAACAATTTTTTAAGTGAAAAAATTTTTAATTGAATATCACTAGATTTTGAAGTACTCCTAAAAAAATCTTGATTATCTTAATTAAATCTCATTAAATTTGATGTACTCTTAAAAAAAATTAATTGTCTTAATTAAATATCACATAATTTTTTATATTAAAAATAAGTCTTAATTGGATATCACAAGTTTTTTTTATAATAAAAAAAATATTTTAAAATCTCAATGCAATATACCCCTAAATAATCTAACGTAAAAAGTAATTCAAGACAAATATGCATTCAATTTGTCCGGACTCGAGAAAATTTAAATGGAATGACACTCAATGGAAACAGATTATGAGGTATGCACATACCGGTTTAATGTCAAAAAAGTTTTAAATTAATAAAGCATAAATTACTCTCTTAAAATTTCTAACCAATTCTATATAGAATTATAGATCATAAAAGGAAACGAGAAAAAAGCCGAAATGAATTACTCATATCCATAGACACTACACAGATATATAGATGATCATAACAAGAAACGAAACAAAAATCAAGAAAAGAAATAATGGTATTACTTATATATTATGGGTGCCTATGATCTCATCAATCAATCACACAAATAGTAAACTCTATACAACTTTTTCCATTTGGTGAAGAACTGAATTTCGTGATGTGTAGAAACTAGTTGAATAGTTGCAATTGAGACAAGTAGAGTAATGTTTTAAATGAATGTGTGTTAATAGTTCCAACATGTCATTGAATACAACTTTGCTATAGAATGTTGTTTTGAACAAACTGCAGTTTCTGTTTGATAAAATAAAACAAGTATGAGATATTTTGGTATAACTAAGCAATAGCATTTTCCAAGTAATTCACTAACGTTGAAACTGGAAATGAAATTGTGCTTCCATGTTCTCGTGTACAACTCCAAGAGCCCCCAAGAAGGGTAGGCTGAGATACTCCCCCAGCGATGATGGCTCTGTGATGAGCAAAACATTGCTCTTCCCTGCAAAAGACACTGCTGGAACAGCGCAAGAAACATCAGATATTGGCAACAAACAATTGGCCAAAAGTGCAATGTTCCCTGTGGAAGTGCAGTAACTTTCCCAACCATCAGGTGGTGAAATGCAGTTCACTGCATCAAGGTCAATCTCAAACAGATCCTCTTCCTCTTCCATTCCAAAATCTTGGGAAAATTCTCTATACTCTTCTGAACCCTTTACTGAACAACTCATGCTTTAATATTTGTCTTGTGCTGTCATGTGGTGTAGCATGATTCATCATCATAGGGAATGTAACATTTATATATATAGTGGCAATTTGCATATTCAGGTGGATGGTAGCAAGTATAACGCTCCCCCAACAAATATGCAACGGTGAAACAGGATCAAAGAGTCAGTATATTAATTTAGTACATTTTCAGAGAAGCAACTCCTCTAAGCTGCTCCACCATATATAATTCAACGCTCGTGCTGTTGACTGTGTCTTTTCTTTTTGTCTCAAATGTGAAATAAAAGAGTATTTGATTCACTTTCACCAAAATCATAACATGAAGTCAAACGTAGAGATACCAACCCAACAGAATGGAAAAATGTTGCCATCATCTCACTTTTCTTTCCCAAAGAAATTGTATGATTAAAGAATGGAAAAAAAATTGTGATTTGTATTTAGTAGTATCAACTACCAACAGACTAGTGAACAAACTCACTTTCAAGATTGTGACAGCCTCAAAATAATGTGCATATATGGCTTATGGTTGGAACTTGGTAGCGTGGGAATTTCGTAAAAGTATAGACACGCTACATGGACCAAACAACGTGGACTCATTTTGTGAAGGAAAGGTCTTTTTTAACGAGGAAAATGGTAAATAAGAAATGAGACTTCTAAGACTATCGGACAAAAAATTAATGACATGATAAAGATTCTTATATTATACGTCAATATCTAATTTCTTTGAGTATATATACTTACTAAAATAAGATTTTAAAGGTTACGGAGAGTGTAAAACTTGTGTTATGAAAGAATGTAAATTTAGACTAGATCTTAGACTGTTTTTGCTAACTCACCCTAATTGTAAAGGAAAAATTTAACAACTTTTTTAATGATAAGAAACTTCTTTTCAATTTTATTTTTAGTTAATATATTTTTATTAATAATTACAAAATCTTTATATATATATATATTTTTTAATTTGTTGTTTTTACCATTTTTGTGATAGAGTTTTGAAATCTCTCTTTTTTCTCTTCATCAGTTAAAAATACATTCAATAAAATAATAATTAAACCAAAACCCCTACTCTTATTAAAATGGCATGATGTGAAACATACTTGTAAACTGTATTCGCTATAAAAAGCAAAACAAAATTCCACCTCACATTGCTGATGGTAGTAGGAGCATTTTCTAACCTTTTTAATTTAATTTTCTACAGTTATTTTTTCTAAGGGGTTATAATTACACCGGTGTAACTTTTACTAAGTATTACACCGCTCAATAACTTTATATTAATTGTGAATTTTGTAAATTCAACCGTTAGATTGAAAGTTCATATCACTTTATACGTGTATATCAAATTTTGTTAAAATTGGACAACAACTTGAAGATAATATAGTGTTCATATTTTAGTGTATTTTGAAATGAATATATTACGTCAATTTTATTTTATAAAAATGAAGTATCAAATCATCTTGGATTAATATAAAATTTTGTATATATGATCTAAGAAATATAAATTTTCAATCTAATGGTTGGATTTACAAAATTCACATTTAATATAAAGTTATTGAGCGGTGTAATACTTAGTAAAAGTTACACCGGTATTATTATAACATTTTTTTTAATATAAGAAATAGAAATTAAATACTTATTAGGGAACACCTGATCGAGGACTAATCCTTCAAATTTTTGATCTCTGATTCTAGGATGGAAGATGATCCATTAGGATGAGGTAGTAGCCCAACCTAGCAAACAAAACAAAAATATAGCCCAATAATAAAAACACGAGAATGGGGAAGCACCTTCAGATTTGGGAGAGATGAAAGGCCCAGTGGAGGGGGTTTTAATTTACTTTTTTCAAAAATATTCTTACACGTGTGATTGGATTCAATAGTTTGGAATTTAATTGTTAAAGAATATAAATTTTTTTACTTTGAAAATTTAATTTTCAGAAGTTACTTTTATTTAAAATAAATATTATTGGGTACTATTATTAATTGAATAAATAATTATACTATTAAAATTACTAAATAAATAAAATAGGAGAATTAACTATTAAACAATTAAAAATAGTCATATATATATATATATAGATATATATATCAAACACTAAATGATAGAAATACAAGTAAAATATTGAAATAAATACATATCACACATAAAAAAATAGAAAGTTATATCAACATCTTCATATTAGATATTTTAATATGTTTTAGAAATTAGTTTTGGACATGTTGGACATTTTGGAAAAGATTTCAATAAACACATAACGTTAGTAGGAATAAAATATGTGTGTGTGTGAGAGTGAGTGAGTGAGAGAAAGAGTATGTGTGAGAGAGAAAACCTACAACCAAAACAATCTTAGATATCTTATTCGAATATAACTCAATTTTTAAATATAATTAATAATTTAAAAAAAAATTATGGCATAAGAAATTGTAAAAATCTATCATATTTTTACATATAAAAAATTGTGCACTTACAATGGCCAATGATCGTAGAAAGTGTTATATCTCAAATATATAAAATTCAGATATTATATAATGTTATATAACATCCTCTTGAATAAAGGTTCTTAATCACATTATTCAACTAGTTCTTATAAATTTTATTACTAAAACTTGTTGATGTGAATGATGTTGTATAAGAATCATCGTTATATATGAATTCTGAAAAAGAAATATTCTTATCATAAAAAATATCTTTAATATTCCTATTTACATAAAAAAAAATTTTAAAAAAATGTGAGGTTCATAATTATGAACTTTGAGTTACATTGTGAAAATAATGAAAGTTATAAAATTTTAAGTGGTATCAAAAATCTTAATAATTAAATAGATTAAGAACCCAAAATGAATTATACTATTGAAGATAGTCTAATTAGCCGAAAATATATACAATCATCACACACATATACACACAAAAAACCTATATAAAAAGGGCATGATTATATAGAGTCATTTATACATCAATTATCATACACACTATTACTACTACAACTACTTAATTTGTTGGCTTCCAAAAATAACTTTTTTCTATTCATCTAAGGCTTTAGGAAGCAAATATAAAGTGTCATAAAATACATAGTTTGTGTAAAGATTAAAGTAACCTACGTCCCATTCCTCTAAGTGTACGATAATTATAATTATTGTAGTTAGGATCTGAGTTTAATGGTGATTGAAATATAAAGATGAGTTTTAGAAATTTTTCCATAGTCAATATGAATGATCACTCTTGTGACATCTAGGCTAAGTAGTGATTTAAGTACAAGAAGAAGGACTAGCCTAAAAAGATTAGTCCATCAATTGGAAAGTCTTGTGACTTAATTACTACAACAAACTTTTTATTTTACTCAAAGGCTCATAATATTGTTTCCTCCTCTTAAGAGCTAATGTTGAGGACAGTTTCACACTGTTAACATTAATTCAATGATGATTCTTTTTCTTTACATTGACAACTTCATTCATCTATCAGTATTAATGAAAAATATGAAAATTTTTAAACAAGTTGATCACAAGTCTAATGAAAAATATGAAAATTCTTAAAAAGATATATTTTTTAAATTGAAAGAGATTTTTCTTCTTTCCTTTTTAAGTTATAGAAACATGTTAAAAAAAGTATAAATAAATTTGAAATAAAATCAATTATTTTAAATAAAAGATTAAAGTCTTAACATATCAATATTTACACATTCTAATAAAAATTTAAAAAAATTTAAAATCATAAACCTTTTTTAAAAAATCAAACACATCAATCAAATATTAAAATCTTAATATCTTAAAAATTTAAAAACTCAAATATATCAACTAAATACCAAAATCTTAGTATCATAAAAAATAATAGAACTGTTTTCACACAGGTTGTGAGCTTAACGACCTGATCCGTAGACCTTGACCATATACCCACCCCTATTTAAACATGTCTACCGCCCCAAAAAATCCTTCACATATTTTGGCCTTGTTATGTCTCATTTGGATTTTTAACACTTTTTGCTTACTGGCTTTACCACTCATGGACTCAAAATTCTCACAATGTTGAATACCCATAATAGGCCCATGTTGATCAACCTTACTAGGCTCCATAACATTGCTCCCATCAAAATCCTCCTGTCCGTAAAATGAATGCTATTGTACCTTCAAGTAAAAATCATATAAAATAACTAGTCTAGGTAGTTTACACTAGACATAATCTAACCCGTCGGTACCCGTTTTCCGATTTTGGGATAAATCAGGAAAAACCCTGATTGATAAAATCTGGGACAGGAATGAGGATATTAATACTCACTTCGCTCTCGTCCTTGTACCTGTTCCTGCGCTGCTTAATAATATAATTAAAAAATTATTTATATATATATATATAAACTAAAATTAAAAATATTTATATATAAAAATTTATATTAATTTACTTTTTTTTAAATTTGTTCATATTTATTTTTAAAAAAAATAGAAGTAGGGTCAGGAGCGGGATAGAAAAACCCAAATCCCACTAGGAACAAAAATAAATAGCTAGATTTTACTCTCAACAGATATCGAAAGTGATTACAATTGTGAGGGTGGGAGCAGGGAACATAAAACCGCCGCTGCCCATTGGCACGCCTAGTTTCAAGTGCTATTTTTTTTTTGGTAAAATATGAAAGATAAACAAAGCAAACAAAATGGTTTTTTCTGTTTTTCTTTTTCATAAATGTGGTCCACGTAGATAAATTTCAACCAATGAAATTGTTTTTGTCAGTGCTAAGGGTTGTTGCTTGTACAAGCAATTCACAAAAAAATTTAAGAAATCCAGCTGCCATGTAGGACAAGTCCAACAGGAGTTTGTTATAAGGAACGGTGCTTAACAATAAGAAACCCTTCAAGCAC